CAGACTTTGATATGCTGAGCTGTCTACATGATTGGAATATCATACAAAACTTGTCAGAATGGGAACATGGCAAAACAAACTACCTCATGATACAGGATGAAAACACTACCCCTGGCTATTGTTTTTTACAAATGTTCCGACCTGATGTACCTCTTCCTGTCACTGACATTCCTAATGAACACTATACATGTATAACTGCTAGAAGAGGAAGAATATTAATTAAAAATACGGTAGGAAATGGAATAATTCCAGGTGCTGTAGATCATGGACCATCCTCGTTCAGTCAAGGTCAAAATGGAGTATGTGATAGAGATCATGTGTTAGCTTTTCCTTGTAAATCCTGGCCTCAATCAGCATCAGGTTGGTTAGAGAGACAAGGTATTGGCAGATGGCCAACACAAGAGATGAGAAGATATGCAGCCAGGACTGGGTGTTTTGTTGTTCCAACTGGAAGTAAGGTCAGTGAATATCCTGACCTTGACTGGAGAATATCTACAACATTGGCAGAAAGGTGCTTAATGTTTAATTTAAATATAACACAAATAAGGTGCTATGTGTTGTTGAAAATTATTCTTAAATGTAATCTTAATCCTGGAGGCATAATTGATATATCAAGTTTTATGTGTAAAACAGTTCTATTACATTGTATAGAAAACTCAGAGTCAAGTTTGTGGAAAGAGAACAATTTATACACATGTTTAATAAATTGTTTATTGGAATTACACAGTTGTGTACAGAATGACAGTTGTTCACATTTCATTATCCAAGAAAATAATTTGATGGCAGGGAAATTAACAGTTGAGACAAAACATGAACTTTCAAAAAATATAAGTAATTTTATACAGAATGGAAGACTACAGTTATTCAGGATTAATATTGATGATCTTGGCTATAGACTTCAAGTTAAACTGAACATGGTACCACGTGGAATAAACTATTTTCTGAATTCTCCTGAAATATACAATTTATCACTTTTAAAAAGTGAATTCTTATGCATTGTAACTAATATAAGTGAAACCTATCTGATAGTTTTATATCATTTACACCATAAAAGCATTAGGACAATGAAGCAATATTTATATACACTAATGGCCTCCTGTGTAAATGGTAATAAATTACAACAGGCTGCGTGCAAGTATCTAGCACCTTTTCTTTCTACGACATATGGGTCTGTCCTAGCATCATCAAGTATTGGTGAAAATAGTCAAGTGTCACCTGGAGCATTGGTTTGGTTATTAGATGGTTTAAACTCAGATATCTCATCTGGCAAGCTTAAATTCGCTTCAGTGCTCTACTGTACAGGAGATATGGCGAAAGCTGAACTAATTCTGAGACACACTGAACAACAATATTACTCTTATCCTGTTGTACCTATCTGCGGATGCAGGGTGAAGCCTCTACCAACAGTAACAGCAGAATGCATGAGGGTATGGAATGAACAAGGTGATATTCGTATTTCAGCTTTTTGTGTCAAATTCATAAAGGAAGAGATAAACTGTGTTCCTTTTGAACTACAATATGAAATGTTCAGATCCACACAAAATGACATGATACACAGAATTAAGTATAGAGACTGCTGGATGGACTTGTCTGTAGTTGATTCTCTACCTTTCCTGTACTTCCTACAATATAAGATCTACAGGCATCTGAAAAGACGACAAGATCAAAAACGAGCACTTTGTAAACTTAAACGAACCATAGTAACAACTGAAAACCTTGGACATAGAGAAACAGCTCTAAACGTTTTAGGGCAATGCATGGAACAAGAAAACAGACCTCAACAAGCATTAAGATGCTACCTGCTGTCTCTTCAACTAAGGTCAAGAAACAATGTGGCAAACTACCATATATGTAAACTTCTTTCTAGAGTATTGAATAGTCAATAAAATTTGGCCAAATACAGACAGCATTAAGACTTACATTTACATTAACTGCTTGTGTGAATGAAACTATTCAAATGTTAAAATATATGCTTTTTCGTTTTAAGATAGCACTAAATTGGAAAAAATATACAACTGTAATGATTTTGAAATTCTTCACATTTGCGCGTGTAGAGCCTCTTCAGAAGTGAACCATTGCTCATTAAAACAAAATCCAATTGTGTTCACAAGATTAAATGTTAAAAAAATTATATGTTTACAATATAGTCTACACTGCATTAAATTGATCTATTACCATTGAATATTTGTATTTTTGATCAATTTCAAGTCAACAAGAATTATCCTGTAAAACTCATGACCCTGAAAAAATAGTCAGCAGCCATCATGAGATCAGATAAATAAGGACAAGTTCTAGGCATAATCTCAACATGGTGATCATCTAATCGAAGTCATTTCTATTCCCATGGGGGAAGCGACCTGATTGTTGCCTCATACTTGTGATCATTTACTACTATCCAAGTTATTTTTAAAACTTTTCATAAGTTAAGAAGTTACAAATGCAACACAAAATGCTGATTTTTATTTACATTTGACTTTCAAAGAGTGAATTTGACTTATTGGAGAAAGTAACCTAGTTGTTGTGCTCTGTACATCTGTGTCATCTTGGTTTTTTTATTTCAAATTTTTGATAAGTTTAAAAGTTATGAAGCAGACATGAAAATGTTTTGGGCTGTTTGAAAGATGGACATTTGTCCGAATTGAAATAAGGGGCTATTTATTTTAATTATATTTGATTAAGAGGATATTGGCCCCTTCGTCTATTTGAACAGAATGAACTTTTGGCACTCTATATCTTTTCCGTAGTACGAGACATTTCTTATGTGATTACTCTATTGTAATCACTGTTGTGATCACAGGGCCATGATGGTCTCTCATCTGAGGGACAAACGCAATAATGGAAGAGTCGGGCATTTGGTCAAAATCTAGTTGAACAGATTTTAATGTTCAAATCATAGTCTGAAATAGCGTAGATAATTAAAATTTCACATTTGTAGTTCTAAATACAAACAGGAGGGCATAAAGACATAATCTAGGTCATCTGTACGAAATAAAATAGTATTATATATAATTTACAATGCCACTTTGTGCTCAGGTGATCTAATACAACAAGAATTATCCCGATTAAATGTTTTAGTGTCAAGAGACTGCATTAAGTTTCACTTCAACATGTTCAATATGTATCAAGTGTTGTATTTTATTGTGTTGAGCAGTATAACAAAATGCTCAAATGACACTGTATGATGAAATAATGTTTACTTTAGCTATTTGAATAAAACTTTTCGATCAATTATTCATTCACACACACACACATGCACGCAAAACAACAACAAATTTTGATTTTCATCATCTTGAAACTTTTTTTATTTTTAGTGGCATATATAAAATTATGTAAGAAATAAATGTGATCTGACAATATACATTATAATGTTATCATTGTATGAGGAATGAAAAGACGTTAGTCAAGAAATCAAATTGTTTTCATACAAAAGTGAAAATAAATTAAAAGTTACATTTAACAATCAGATGATTGTACAACCCCATAAGAAAACAAAATTGTATTGCAGAATTTGCATCTTATAGAATTTCGTCATTTTGTTTAAAACAAATCAATGATATAAAAAATTATATGAAATTATTTTTTTTTCATAACTGATATTTCTTTCATTAAGTTAAATATACAATCAACTAATACAGTCAATTATCTCCCCTTGTTAAGCGTATGAGAAAAAAGCTTCATTTTAGTTTGTCAACTTTCTTCTGATAAGCATCTCCAGTTTATTAACAGACCACAGTAAATTAACACATCATAAGCATTATTTAACATTTTTGTCTCCACGACTGTGTTACAGAGGTCCGTACACATTAGCGAAAGCTATTTTTATGCTTTAACAAGCAAGAAACATAAACTACATGAACTGACAATATAACGGTGAGAAACTTGCTTTTTTAATAATGGTAACATGCACATAAACATTCTTGTCTTTGTTTGTTTTCACTAAAAAGATCGTTTATGAATATCTATGTGTCTGTATCAAATACGAAATAGCATGTATCTAGATATTTCACGAAATGAATTCTACAAAATTTTGCCTTTCTAAACTAATTATATTGATGGTAACATGGAGAAAATTTGTTTGTATCAAATACAAGATGACATGTTTTAAGATACTTAAGTCTTTTACATCATAATAGGAAATGAATTCTATAAAACTTTGCTTTTCATTCCTATCCCTTCTTATCTTATGCTGTAACAAGAAGCAAAGTAGCTCTGTTTTGGAACAAATATATATAAAGTAGATCATTTACGTAATTAAAGACATGTAAACTAAACAATTATCTAAAAACAAAATAAGCAGAAAAAAATAATACAAAATTTGAATGTCAACATAATGCACAGAAATAAACAAGGACGGAATTAAACAAATTAAACAAAACGTTTCTCATCTATATATGATCTAATAACAAATTCACAAATAAATAAACTAACATTTACACTTGAGCTAAAATTAACATACACTGAGATTATCTAGATCACTGTTTGAATTACATCTCATTTCAAAGACAATGCAAGTACCAGTAGCTTAATGAAAAGTTAAATTTAAATTAAAATTATGTTGTTTTCTTTTTCCCTAAAATGGTAATTTTAACATTTCGTACTTACATTGTGACCAAATTTTTTTTATCTAAGCATTCCTTAAATATGAATCAAAACAAAAAAGCCGTATTCTAAAAACCTAAGTGATAAATATAAAGAAACAAGACTAGAAAAAAATGACAATGCAAATGAACACTCTAAAATCTAAACATGACTTTACCACAAATCAATTATCATATACAAAAAAATCTAACTACCTTAAAATTTTTATCTTGATGTCCCTAAAATTAATCATATGTAGTATCAATACTGTAACCTGGACAAATCCATGTAAAGAAATTCAGCAAGTCCCTGTCAGGTATCAACAATAATATGCCAAGTGATGAAAACACAGGTCACTTATACCACTTGGCCAAAACAGCCAATCAAATATTATTTTCAATTTCTAAACATAAATACAGTGAATTTACGCAATTTAAGTGATAAGGCATGAAGAAAACATACAAATTAACAAATACTAATCTACATTTAAAAAAATCCAAAAATTAAGTAACAAGAAAATATGACTTTATTTTTTCATCATTGAATTGAATGAAAATCACTTTACAATACATAAGGTATAACCTAGAACAACAAAAAATTGTGACAAATTTAAGTAAATAAATATTGATATGATAAGAATATGTACACTATAAATGTCATGTTAATAAATCCATATATAAATATCACAGTCAAGTATAGGTAAATGATTTGACAGCACTAAATGTAAACAATTTCCATTTCACAAGTCAATTTTATGTGTCACAACACAATCTTGAGTATATATTTATTAATTTTTAGTCTACGAGTTGAGAAAAAAAATTGATATTTGCATTGTCAAATCTAACGTCTGACATCCTTTGTTGTTTTCATGTTGGTTGGGTTTATTCTTGTACCAACACAGTATAGGTCATCAACACAGTATAGGCCATATGGCAACCTTCCAGTTTTACTGATATAAGATGACCTAAGGTGCCCCTCTGTTTATTGTTTCAGGCAAAAAGGGGCACCTGAGTAGGACCACTAAAGTTCAGTAACCTAGCATGATAGCTTTCTCAAATGTAGAATCCAAAGATGCTATAGCTAGTGGTTCAAACTAACAGCTGTGAGAGAGACCACAGTCTTAACTACAGACACATCTCTGACATCCTTTGCACCCTAGAATTTTTTTTTCTAAAACTTCACTTCGTGTACACTCAGGAATTTATAAATACCCCTTATCCAAAGTTAAGATCTTTCAGCAACATATATAAAATTCAGATCTACAACCAAGAGACATGTCATTTAAACTATTGGTTTGACAGCACTGTTTTCAAACTGAATATATGAACGCAGTGCAGTCTCTTTTTAAAAACAGCAAAATAAGCATTACAGAGGTTTAGTAACCAAGTACCCTTACCATTTTTACTTTCCATGAAAACAGTTATCTGTACATGACAAAGGAATATTAACATGAGAGTGAATATTAAGAATTTACAATATCATTGATTTTTTAATTGGCACAACCATTGTTAATCTACAAGACATCTTCTCTCTAATTATCAATTTTCTTCATTGTAAATCATAAAAGTCAGATCTGCAGCATTTCATAATAAATATTTTGTCCGATCATGTATTCTAAAATATTATTCCCAGTTCTTAAAATTTGCTAAACATTTTTTTTTAATAACTTAAAGATATTGATATCTGAATTTGAATTGATAATAAAATAACAAAACTGAATAAAAAATTGACTATGTCAAATAAAAAAAGTTTTTTTTTTTTTTAAGTTCCCACTTTGTTTTGGTTTGTAACTGTTATTTCATTTCTTCTTTGTGAATAATAATTTGGAGTCCAATACTTCTTCCTGATCACAAAAAAAAAAATCAAAATTACAAAAAATACTCTATGGGTACCAGGTATTCATAATGCCTCCTTGTTCAGATCTAAGTAAAAAATTAAATAAAAGACAGGAGTATACCATTCTGCAGATAGCACTCTGTCATTGGTCACTTTAAATTGAACATCTAAAATCAACCAATCAAATTTAAGAGTTTGAAGACTGGTTATTTTTTTCCATTTATTTTTTGTTCAGCATTTGTGTTTTAAAAAGATGAGATGATGGTTACAGTATTATAATCAGCAGATATGAACAACAAATTCAATCAAAAATCTAAATTTGCTGTGCAGTCAATTCACTCAGTTTCATTTCCTATTAATCTCTCTTTAACAAAATTGTTCTCTTTAAATAAATTGTTACATTCTTTAGTATAACTTATATTTAACTATGCCTACACTCTTATTCTTTATTACCAAATATCAAAATTATTTCACTGCATTTTTTAAACATTTCATTGCTATCTTAACACAAATTGTCATTTTTTGTTTTCACAACAGTTTCCTTCCCACTTCAGGACAGTATCACATGTTCTTACTGTTTCACAAGACCTCTAGCTTTAGGGAAGACCTGTGATGAATCCACGTTATTTTTCATTGCAGATTTAGGTCGAGATTTACTTGCTTTGTCTCTTTTTGACTTACTGCTGCTGAAAATCGCGGGACTAAAATAAAAAAATACAAATTCATTTAAAACACTGACACTTAATATATAAGTTTCTTCATCTTAAGTTTAATGTACAGAACAACTTCAACAAAGCAGCCCTCTGTTGGGCCATAACCTCTTTAAAGCAACAATATCAATTTTCAAAAAATATGACTTCACAATATATTTATCCTCATTAGAGCAAAAACCCTTAACAACAACCAATAACTTTGCCTCCCAAAGGGTGTGACTCTGCCAAGTTGTACTGTATTTTCTTCCTGATTAACATTTAATATGTAAATGTAAGTTGCCCTCAAATCAGTATTTCAAAAGCATTAGTAAGTTGATTTTAACAAAAATAGTCTGGATTCTGTACCAGACTGGATTCTGTACCAGACTGGATTCTGTACCAGACTGGGTTCTGTACCAGACTGGGTTCTGTACCAGACTGGATCCCAGACTGGATTCTGTACCAAACTGGGTTCTGTACCAGACTGGGTTCTGTACCAGACTGGATTCTGTACCAGACTGGGGTCTGTACCAGACTGGGTTCTGTACCAGACTGGGGTCTGTACCATACTGAATTTTGTACCAGACTGAGTTCTGTACCAGACTGGATTCTGTACCAGACTCGGGTCTGTACCAGACTGGGTTCTGTACCAAACTGGGATCTGTACCAGATAATCCTGCTTCTAAAAGCATCTCTTAAATAAATGTGAAATATAGGTACATAATGAGATCTTTAAAAATGTGTCTACAGTTAAAACAATATTTAGTCATCACCTTCCATCTAGGTCAATATCAGCCTCATCTTGAAGAGCAGCGTCCAGCGCAGCCTGTATTCGTGGCGCCACCTGGGGACCATCATAGTCTCGCGTTGTTCGATTTGGCATATCCAGTTCTACCATCAAAATATTCTCTCCCTACAAACCAATAATTTATATTTCACTCAGCTTTGTTTATCTAACACAAATCAACAATACATCAAACAAAATATAATCAGTGCAAATACAAACCCCCCTTCCCCAAAAACAAATTTCCTGAGTTGCCCATATATAAATCATTTCAGGCACTTTCAACCTTGATTAGAATCATGATACTTCCAAACAAGAGCTGTCACTAGGACTGTGTGATCGACCATTCTCAGTGTATCATTCTCAGCCTTGATAATGTATAATTGGCTAAGTTCTTAAAGGACCACAAATCCATCAAAATCCAAGTAATGAGCCTGCAATAGTTTTGCTCTGAAATAAGTGTGTGAAGTTCAATCCATTCCCTTCAGTAGGTTTGGAGATACCAACTTGCATGCAAAAACTTAACCAAAGTGTTATACCAACATAAGTACAATATCTAACCTTATTCTACAAATAGTCAAGCTAAGAAATGCTGTAGAACATGTATCATCAATTTGATACAGTCATCCTACTGTTATGTAAATGGTTAATGACATTTTTATGACTGCCAAGCAAAGAATTATTTTTCATTTTCCATCAATTCATGCATAATATTCCTCGTCCAATCTTAGAACTGTAAAATTGTTACAAGAAAAGGTGTTTTAATACCATTTAATACCATGCTTATACAGCCAACAGAAAAGAGTATGTTAATACTGCACACATATACAGATGGACACTGTTATCAAATGTTATCCCATCTTGCACTACATGTAAAATACTTTACCTTAAATCTTGGATTTCCTCCCATGGCAGCTGCCATCTTGGCATACTCTGACACAGGTCTTCTATTACCACAAGCTGATTTGGGCCTCTTAGCCATGGTTTGTGAGCTATAAAATAATCACATCAAACATTCATATTGAACCAATCATCTTAACTGACTAAAATGAATGTACAAACTTTGGATGACAAGTAAGAAATTACAAGTCTTGTTAAGAACCAATTTTTCCTATTTCAGTAAGCCAAGTTTGAAAAAAAAAAACTTTATATCATTGATACATGCTTGCAAATTCAGATATTAATAAACTCAGATGGAGGCTTCAAAAGGACAACAACGCATCACAGCATAACTTAAATGTTTTATTTAACACAATGAGTGTCTTTAGTGACCTAAATAGTGTTGACCAGTTATGCTTTTACTGCATTCTTTACAGATTTTTGCAAACCCGAAATTTGCTCTTTCTTTTAAGTACACATACAAAATGTATAATAGTAGTAAAAATGTAAAAAAACTTATTTGTAAATAATTGTTAAAACTAAACTATTTTCCAGTTTATTAGAGAAAACTTTTCTAAACTAGTTATCATTAAAACAGTGCTACATGTATATTCCATGCTAACCATATATAATTATCAAGCTATAATTTCTGTGCAAGATTTTTAGCCAGTCATTTAAGTTATATAAACCAACTTTATTTGAAATTCACAGGACCTTAAATAATAAGATTCATATAATTGTCACCTTAGGGCAGTAAAACGTTAACTTCTACAAATTTAAATAAGAGTTAACCAATTATTGCCAGAATTCATAAATTTTAGAATATATATCTGCAAGGATCTATCAATCTTAAGATTTATATATACAAGGAGTCATAAATTTCAGGATTCATATTAGTAGTTGAATATATATAGTAAGGATCCATAAATTATATGATAAATATATGTAAGAATCCATAAATCTAAGGATTCATAAATGCAAGAATTTATATATCTTATGACTCATAATCATATGTAATTATTCATAAATCTTAGAATTCATACTTGTAAGAATCCATAAATTTTAGGATTCATAAATCTAAGAATCCATCAATCTTAGGATTCATACAAGTAATTATCTGCAAATCTTAGGATTCATACTTTCAAGGAATAGTTTACCTGTATGAATCCATAAACCTCATGCCCATATATTTAGAGCACCAACAAATTACAGTATCAAGCAATTGAATTAATTAGAAATAATAAATCTAAGAAATTAAATTTTAAGTTCAGTCTTTGGAAATGTGTCCCTTTAATAAATATGTATTTTTTCACTTTGCTGAATTTCATTCATCAACAATATAATGTATTTAAACAGTTCAGTTAAATAACGGGGTGCATTTATGTCATAATAACTAATTCTAATGTGCTTTTATATTCTTTAAACAATATATTAATATTGTTTTTACTTTACAAACTCAAAATCCCTTTTTCCATTGCCTATATATTGCTTCTTCCTAGAAAAAATTATCATAATTGATAAATAATTTTATATTAACTCCTAATCAATAGAAATATTAACCAATCATCTTCAAATAAAGGACACAATTTCAACCCTTGATAAAAACTAGAACTGTGTCCTAAGGACACGGATGCCCCACTGACAACATATATATGGTATATAGTGAAAAAACAAAGGGCCATAATTCTGTTAAATTTGGTTGCAGCAAAAATTCCTTCCTTAACTTTCATCTACACATTAAGGTTGTTCATCCCTGGAAGTTTAAGCAAAATCTGCCATCCAGTTTAAGAGGAGTTGCGTTCACAAAATTTCTATATGGTATATAGTGAAAAAATCAACAAAGGGCCATAATTCTATTAAATTTGGTCGCAGTAAAAATTCCTTCCTTTACTTCTATCTACACATTAAGGTTGTTGATCCCTGGAAGTTTAAGCAAAATCTGCCATCCGGTTTCTGAGGACTTGCGTTCACAAAATTTCTACATAGTATATAGTGAAAAAAATCAACAAATGCCATAATTCTGTTAAATTTGGTTGCAGCGAAAATTCCTTCCTTTGCTACCATCTACACATTAAGGTTGTTTATCCCTGGAAGTTTAAGCAAAATCTGCCATCCGGTTTAAGAGGAGTTGCGTTCACAAGATTTGGGGACGGACAGACGGACGGACAAGTGCAACGATATATGCTCCCACTTTGTGGGGGCATAAAATTCAGTGTTCCCACCAATTTAAAGGAACTCCAACGAGTGTTGCAACGCTTTTCAATTTTGGTCATTTTTTTCTCTCACAAATTTGAATAAGTATTCCAGAAAAACAGAACAGCCAAACATCCAGTAACATGCCAAGTTATTTGTGTAGACCTAGTTCAATTGACACATTAATCTTAAAAAAACATTTTCAAGTCCCATCATGTTAACAACAACAAAAATCCTCAGTGGAGTCCCTTTAATCATTAAAATATATGTGCTTGCATAAGTTTAGCTGTTTTTTTCTGACAATGAATGCTATGTTCTATAATTCAGCCATCAACCTGCTGCATTTCTAAAATTAGCATGTCCAGCTTTATGTTGAAACCGTCTATTATCTATTCTGGGGATATCAAGATGATAATGTAAAGTCAGTCAGCCAATAGGGTAAAGCCTGGCCCAGTATTGGTGGCAAAGGTTAATACTGTAAGCTAAGTCAAAAACTGTTCAAATAACAACTTTTATTGATAAAAGGTTTATTCTACAATTTCTTTATTCAACTCTGAAGAGCACTAAATTTGCTAGATTCAACAATAAAAGTTTCCATGAAAATATTACAAAATGCTCTTGTCACTAGTTTTCGCGACTGTCAGGATTTAAAGCCAAAATGCAAACTGAACACAGCCTGTCATGGCTACTTATATAGACTCTGAAATAGCCAGGACTGTCACAATTGACCAATCATAACATTCCATTTACCCTGGCAGTCTGGCAGGAAAGACAGGAATTTCTTAAAATGGCAGCCATATTGACAGGAATAATTTAGAAAATGTAAATTAACAAAGTTAACTAATAACAAAATATGCAATATACACTTGAATTACATGCTTAACTTGATGCACTTAATATCTGGACCAAAAACAATCATGGTTATAGCTTAGAAAACTGAACAATTGATACAAAAAGATTCCAAGTGTCAGGAATTTGAATTTTCCCTCCTGACAAACTTAGAGGTCATACTGGTCATCAAGATTATTATGAAATACAGCAATTCCAGCTAACTATTTGGAAAGTAACTTATGTCTTAGGTAAATAAGGATTACATTCTATGCTCTTACATGTAAAATGATAAGTATTTGTATATGTTTATGAAAATAAACGCATTTAAAGTTTTGAATCAAGGTAGACAACTCTTGTTGGCCATTTTGATGCCAGGATAAACAAAGTAAGTAAATAAATCATTTCTTGAAGTATAAACCTCCTTAAAGTGCCTTATATAGTCCTAGAGCCTCAGAATGTCCTACATCATGGTCTTAAATCCTTCATTTATCAGGAAATTATCTAAACAAATAAAATCAGCAAATATGAATGGCTCAGGCAAGTTCAGGAATCCTGGCAGGTAAGTTTTAAGCATTGACTGAAAAGTATTACCTCATTTGTCAATAAATTATGCTAGTTTAATGTTCATATTGTCATAAAACATTATTTGTTTTAAACTGATATATCCATTACAAGGTCCTAAAAGTAATTTAGTTGATAAACATTCACAGTCCCTTACAATACCATTTGGTCCCAGCAGGGTAAATGTTAACATAATCTTTATGACAAACATCTGATTCTTCAGATACTAAGGTTTATTTTATCAGTATCTTGGCCTTTGACATACATTTCACTGGACATTGCTTATCAAAAAAAAAGTTAGTTTACAGACATTGTTGCCTGGTTCTACTCAGGTGCCTATTTGTGCCTGAAATAATATACAAAGGGGCACCTGAGGTCTTCCTCCACCAGTAAAGCTGTGGAGTCACCATATGACCACTACTGTATTGGTGGGTCATAAAACACAAACTCACCCACCCCCCCCCCCCCCCCACCCACAAAAAAAAAAAAAAAACATTTAAAAGAGAATTTCCAAATATGAAAACTTTATTACATATGTACAATACTAACTTTTTATTTGCAAGTGGTTTTAAAGTCCATGTATCTTCATCCTCATCATACATGGCACGATTCTGAAGTTTGGTTTTTTCCTCCGATGGAATGAAATTGTCGATGATCAACATTCTGAAAATATTTTATAAAATGAATAATATAGAGAAATAAATGGTGTACCTAATACATGTATATACAAGTGACTGTGAAATAAATGGTGGTCTATGGATTCACATAAATCTAATGTAGTATTCTTCTTTATATTTATTTTATCTTTTTCCAGCTGAGATCTTTGTAAAAGTCAATTAATAGCTACTTTCCAGCTTTCACTGTTTTATTTTTATGCATAAGCAGGCACCTCAGCAGAATCTTTTGCATTCAAATGAAAGTAACAAAAATTCCACTCAAAGTTCAAAGCCAAGGGAGGTAATCAGAAAATTATTAAAAAATCAGCGACCTGACCGGTTCAGTAACCTAGGCTCGTATTTATGCTTACTTGAGCTTTAGTTCTCGTGTAAGTTCATTCTGGGTCTGTTCTAGCTCCTGGCGTTCTTTAACATGTTCTTCCTGAAGATCCTGGATTTCTTGCTTCGTAGCTTGTAACTTTGCAAACAACTGTAAACATCAATTCATAGCAAATTACACTTAGTTTCAAAACAGATAAATTTTAGCACAGTACAAAAAAATTCTATATCAACAGATGAGTTATGAATTATACAAACAACCCAAATTATAAAAGATATACATAATTGGAAATAACTTTAGAACAAATCATTTATTGTAACCAAATATCGGCACTAAACCTATTTACCTGACAACATTGTTAAAGTGAGTTAGATGTTTTATAGTAAGCTTTAACAAAATTTAAGATTTTCATCAAATAACCATTTCTTACATATATTACAAATTTGCAACACAAAGCTCAGGTAGGTGCCCACTTTAGTGTAACACATTTTACTAAGTGTGGTAGGTGTGCATTCTATTGTAACACATTTTAGTAAGTGAGGCAGGTTGCCACTCTTGTGTAACATGTTCTGTTAAGTGAGATAGGTGCCCACTGTACTGTAACACATTTTAGTAAGTGAGGCAGGTGGCCACTCTTGTGTAACATATTCTGTTAAGTGAGATAGGTGCCCACTTTATTGTAACATATTTGGGTATGTGAGGTAGGTGTGCACTCATGAGTAGCACATTCCAATAATTGAGCTACACTCTTGTGATACACATTCTCGTAAATGAGGTTTGTATTCACTATTGTCTTACAGTTACACATTCTAGTGAGTTTTGTATGTTCTCTTGTGTTACACAATCAAGTAATTGAGGTACACTTTTATGTTACACATGTTACACATTCTAGTAAGTGAGGATTGTACATATTCCTGTGTTGCATGTTCTAGTAAGTAAAGTTTGTATATACTAGTAAGTTACACATTCTAGTAGGTGAGGTAGATACACAATCATGTTACACATTTTCTTACCTTCTTCAGTTTTTTTGTTTTCACCTCCACTTCTTGTTGTAGAGACACGTATGTTTCCTGTAATTCTACAGCAGATTCCTCTTTCTCCTCCAACTTTCTCTGTATATCCCTCTCTACTTGCTATAATAAATATCAACAATTACTGTATAAGTAAACAGAAAACAGTAATCTACCACCCCCTCCCCCCATCCCACCTGAAACAGAATCTACCAATGTGAGCAATGCAAAATTTCAATATTTTATAAAACAAGAACTAGAATTTACAATTGATGCCACTTTTATCAAAATCACTTATTCCATCTATGTCTTATCATTTATTCATTAACTTATCAATTCAGTGTCTCTGAACTGTACCAGAATGACCTTAAGGCTAAATTTATTGAACGAAGCAAATAAAATCTGGCTTCTTATTCAACAAGTTCAATAAATTTAGTATTGAATCTACCCAAAAACAATATTCTTTACATTATTTATCAAAAAATAGAACCGTTTTCAGGCTTGAAGTGTCATTTTTCATTAAATTTCATTGATGCGTCTATATAATAACACTTACATTAGTACATTACACTTTAATGCTATGTTTGCATATACATGTAATGCAAACATAAATGTTACTACACTAACATAATATCATTTTTATTAAACACCTTCACTGTGGCTTGTGTGATAAATAGCTTTATACAATTAAATGACAATTTATAAAGTGTATGTTATAATACGAACCATTTGTTGGGCAATCTCCTTTCTTCTCTGTTCTAGCGCCTTCTGTTGTTTGTTAGTATGATCCACTATGTTACCCATCAATAACTTACTCTCCATAGCCTGTCAATATAAAATGATGATTAAATATTGGCAATATTCTGAAAAGCCAGACTGTATAGCTCAATCTGTTAGAGCACCAGACTCATAATCTCAACATTGTGGGTTTGATTTCTAGGCAGGCCAATTAAAAATACTTATCAGTCTTTCCAATCAGACTTTAAATCCCTTGAATAAGTGCTTCAACACTTGCCAAGTTAAAGAACCAGGAGAAGCTTCTGGAATTCAGGCATCCTTCTTTATCAGTATCTTGCACTATCCTCCAAAAAATAAAATGACTAATACTCTCCTGGTGGACTCGCCCTTATGTGCAACCGCTGGAGGGTATAAATAAACTCAAATACACACTCACAGTATTCTCATCTTTGTTGTTGTCAAATTGAGCTAAATTAGTATTATACTTTAAAAAATTGTGATTGACAAACAATTGATAACCAAAATTGTTTAGTTTATACAAATTTATTTTTTGTTTGATTGTTTTGGAAGCTATAAGCTTATTGAATAAGCTTGGGACTTTCCTTCATCATCTTAGGGGATATCAAGATGAAAATTTAAAGCTAGTAAGTCTAGCCAACAGTATGGAGTCTGGTCAGGCTGCAGGAAAGTGCAGGCTTGTATGGCACTATACTGGCAAGCAAATGCTGATCACCTTCAGTTCCAGTTTCTACAACCTTTTATAATCTTTTTTTTTAATCCACAGTGTTAAATGTCTGACGAAACTTACATGATATTTATTAGTTACCTTAAATCTTAGACTCTTAAGAACACGGTTAAAGTACAACCATTTACAATCTATTTTTTGATTCTACAGAGTGTTAAATGTCTGATTAATACTACATGATATTTTAACACTCACCTTAATCTTAGACTCTAACTGGTCCCTATTCTCTTTCTCTTTTTTCATCCTTCCCTCTTTCTCTTGTATCTCATTCAAGATTCTGTCTTTTTCCTGTGAACAGAATAAAAACCTTAATCAATACAATATAAAATAAAAAACTTTTTTTAATAAACTTCTTTATCACTTGTGTGTCTTTAATTAACAAGATACCAAAAATTAAAGATTTTTGAGAAGCATTTCTGAGGCATTATGGGCCTTTAAGATCATAAATAAACTTCTCAGCTTTTACTAGTAAGAGGAATACACCGGTAACTCTACCATGCATTATTTTTAGGCGCATTGGTGGATACCTGTGCAAGACCACCATCATTCTAGAAGCTATGTAGATGAATTCACTTACTGTTTGAATCATGCTTTTGTTATTTAAGATAGCCTCTTTCTCTTGTTCTAGTTTGGCTTGTTGTTCCTGCATGTATGCTTCAGCGTCTGCTTCATTACTTTCCTCTTCTTCATCTTCGTCATCATCACCTTCAGAATCACTGATTATCTCCCCTGTTTGAACCAAAAACAAAATTTATAAATCATTTATTATCCCCCTGTTAAAACCAAAAACAAAATTCATAAATCACTGATTATCTCCCCTATTAATACCAAAACAAAATTCATAAATCACTGATTATCTCCCCTATTAATACCAAAACAAAATTCATAATCACTGATTATCTCCCCTATTAATACCAAAACAAAATTTATAAAATCATTGATTATCTCCCCTGTTGAAACCAAAAACAAAATTCTAAATCATTGATTATCTCCCCTGTTGATACCAAATAGAAAATTTGATAATCAAATCAGTGATTAATCACGACGCATTTGCTTGAAATATAAAAGACACAATTGCTTACAATTTACATCTGACCCTGTCTCTTTCAATAAGCATTTAAATCATTTTTGATCAGTCAACAGACAGTGAAAAGAAATAAGACCAAATATCTTAAAAAGAAACAGCTTTCAAAATATCGTTTTTTTAACAGTTGAAGGAATCTTCTTTAACCTGAATTTCTTACATGGACTTGTCCAGTTTTCATTATTTGAGCTTTCCATTATCAATTTTAGGTAAAAAAAGAGAAAAAACAAACTTATAGAGCCTGGTTGGACTGCACAGATGAGCAGGTTGGCCTGGCTTTATACTTGTGACCAAACAAGTGGAGAAAAACGGACTCCCTAAAGAACACCCTAAATGACAAAATTGAAAAATATTGCAAGCTTGTTTTGATTGAGTCTGTTCATCGACGGAACTGGGAAGTGCAAGGTACTGTACACCCACAATAGCAGGCTTATCACTTCTGACTCCAGGAGGATTTGTTTGATTTGGTTTTATGTCAGACACACTGACATCAGTATAGGTCATATGGCAACATTCCAGTTTTTTCTGGTGGAAAAACGTGAAGTGCCTTCAATTTATTCGGCAAAACGGACCTGATGAACCCCCTTTTTTTCCAGTTCGAACCCCAGAAGATATCCCCAAACCCCTTTCAATTCGAACCCCAAGAATAATAAATTTCCCCCCTGTTCGAACCTCAAAAAAAACCAATTTTCCCCAAAGGTTAAAAAACCCAAAAACAAAAAAAAATCCAAACCCCCTTTTTAATTAAAAAAACAAAAAATTTCAAATCCCTGTTAATTTCCCCCCAAACCCAAAAATTTTTAATCCAAACCCCCTTAAATAAAAAACCCAAAAAAAATCCAAACCCCCCCTGTAAAAACAAAAAAAAATTTTAAATCCAAACCCCCCTTTGTCCAAAAAAATTTGAAACCCAAAAACGGTTTTAATCCAAACCCCCTTTTTTTAAAATTAACCCCCAAAGTTAAATTAACAGTTCTTTAAAAAGGGTTTTTCGAACAACAAAGGAAACCCAAAAATCCCCAAAATTTTAAAAAAAACCCACCAAAATTTCCATTTTTTTCGGGAAATTTTCAAACCCCAAAAAATTTTTCCAAAGGCTGCCCCTTTTTTCTTTAACCCAAAATTTATTGGAAAAAAGGTCCCTTGGTTCAAACCTCAAATTTACCGGGGGTTCCTTTTTTAAATTTTTTTAAACCCAAAAATAAACGGCCCCCGGAAAAAACCCAAAAAAAAATTAAAAAATTTCCTTTTTTGTTATTCATACCAACAGAAATTTAATAAAATTTCCGTCATATTCAACCCCCCCAGGGGGATTTCGTTTGGGGTTTTTTCGAACCACACAAGTAAAAAGGTCAATTGGAACCCACAAGAAAAAAACCAAAGTCCCTTCAAAAATTCGGCCCCAAGAAAAAAACCAAAGTTCCGGTAGGTTCCCCCCCCAGAAAAAACCCAAAAAATTTCCCTGCCCAAGGAGGAACCCAAGAGAAACCCAAAATTCCCTTTTTCGGGTTTTGAACCCACAAGAAAACCCAAATCCCTGTCAGGTTTTCGAACCCACAAAAGATAACCCAAAATTTCCCCCCGGGGTTTCAAACCCCCCAGAATTTTCCAAAATTTCCCTTAAAGGATTCAAACCCAAAAGGATAACCCAAAGTTCCGGGTCGGGAAATTAAAACCCCACAAAAAATTTCCAAACCCATTAAAATTTAAAAACCCCAAAGAAATTTAAAAAGGCCCCTTTCAGGTTTTCCAAAACCCCACAGAGATAATCCAAAAAGCCCCCTTTTCGGGTTTCAACCCAAACAGAATAACCAAAGTTCCTGCCCAAAATTCAAACCCACAGAAAAATTTTCCAAAGTTCCCACCCAAGATTTAAACCCACAGAGAAAAAACCCAAACCCCCTTCGGGTTTAAAACCCACAAAAGTTTAACCAAAAGCCCCCTTCGGGATTCAAACCCCAGAGATAAAAAAAATTTCCCTGTAAAAGGATTGACCCACAAAAAACCCCAAAGGGTTTGTCGGGTTTTAACCCCACAGAGAAAACCCAAAAGTCCTTTTTAGGATTAAAACCCCACAAGATAAAACCCCCCTGTCAGGCCCTTAACCCCCACAAAATAACCAAATTTCCTGTGGGGATTCAACCCCAGAGATTTTTCCAAATTCCCTGTCGGGAAATTCAACCCCCACAAGAAAACCAAAGTTCCTGTCGGATTCAACCCACAGAATAACCCCAAAAGGCCCCCTTTGCCCGGGATTTAACCCAAAAGAAAATTAATCCAAATTTCCTGTGGGAAAATTCAACCCCACAGAAAAATTTTTCCAAAAAGCCCCCTTCAAGATTAAAAACCCAACAAGAAACCCAAAATTTCCTTTTCCGGATTAACCCACAAAAAAAATTCCCAAAATTTCCCCACAAATTTAAAACCCCACGGGAAAAATTTTCCAATTCCCTGTCGGGATTCAAAAACCACGGGAGAAAACCCAAAGCCCCCTGTCAAAATTCAAACCCACAAAGAAACCCAAAAAACCCCCCTGCAGGTTTTCATACCCACAAAGATTTTCCAAATTCCCTTTTCAGGATTCATCCCCACAAGATATTCCCAAATTTCCCTGTCGGGTTTCATACCCACAAAAATTTTCCCAAAAAATCCCTGTCAGGTTTCCGAACCCACAAAAGAAAACCCAAAATTCCCTGTCAGGATTTAACCCCACGGGAATAAATTCCAAAAACCCCCTGTAAAGGTTTCAACCCAAAAAATAACCAAAGTTCCTGTCGGGAAAATTTCAAAACCCACAAAAGAAAATTCCCCAAAGTTCCCTGCAGGATTCAAAACCCACAAAGAAAATTCCAAATTTCCCTGTCGGGAATTCCGAACCCCCCAGAGAAAATTCCAAAGCCCCCCTTCAAATTTAAAACCCACAAAAGATAATCCAAATTTCCGTCGGGACAACCCACAGAGAAATTTCCAAATTCCCCTTAAAGGTTAAAAACCCAAAGAGTTTAAACCCAAATTCCCTGTCAGGTTTCATACCCACGAATACCCCCAAAAATTCCCTTAAAGGTTTTAAAACCCACAGAGTAACCCAAAAGTTCCATTAAACGTTTTCAAAACCCACAGAGAAAACCCCAAAGTCCCTGTCGGGATTCGAACCCACAAGAAAAACCCAAATTCCCTTCAGGATTCAAACCCAAGGGGAAACCCAAAAAACCCCTTTAAAGGTTTTAACCCACAGAGAAAATTAAAAAACCCCTGTCGGGAAATTCATACCCACAGAGAAATTCCAAAGCCCCCTTTCGGGATTAAACCCCACAAAATATTCCCAAACCCCCTTTCCCGGATTCAACCCACAGGGGAAAACCAAATTTGCCCAGGTTTAAACCCACAAAATTTTTCCCAAAGTCCCTGTCAGGATTCAACCCACAGAGATTTCAAATTTTCCCATAAAAGATTCGAACCACAGAGAAATCCAAACCTGTCAGGTTAACCCCAAGATAATCCAAATTCCTTCAGGATTAAACCCCAAAAAGAATTTTCCAAAGTCCCGTCAACCCCCGGGATAATCCAAAGTCCTGCAGTTGGGAACCCCAAAGTCCCCCTGTCAGGTTTTGAACCCACAGAGATAACCCAAATTCCTTAAATTTCATCCCCCAAGAGAAAACCCAAAATTTCCGTCAATCAACCCACAGAGATAATCCTTTTTCAGGATTTGCCCCCACAGAGAAATCCAAATTTCCCTGCAGGATTCATATCCACAGAGTTTTCCAAAACCCCTGCGGGATTCGAACCCACAGAGAAAAACCCAAATCCTGTCAGGATTCAAAACCCCACGAATTTTCCAATCCCATCAAGATTTAAACCCACAGAGAAATCCAAAGTTCCTGCGGGGATTCATCCACAGAGAAACCAAATTTCCCCTGTCGTAAACCCCTATAATCCAAATCCCTGTAGGATTAAAACCACAGAGATATTCAAAGCCCCCAAAAAATTTAAAACCACAGAATAACCCAAAAGTTCCTGCGGGGATTCATAACCCAAGAATAATCCAAAGTCCCGGTCAGGATTATACCCACAGAGAATTCCAAACCCCCATCAGTTTCGAACCCAAGAGATAATCCAAATTTTCCTGCCGGATTCGAACCACAGAGATAATCCAAAGTCCCATCAGGTTTCAAACCCACAGAGATATTCCAAAGTTCCTGTCTTTCCCAAAAAAAGCCCCCATCAAGATTAACCCACAAGATAACCCAAATTCCTGCAGGATTCAACCCCACAGAGAAAACCCAAAATTCCCTGTCAGACGAACCCACAAGATTTTCCCAAAGTTCCGCGGGATCAACCCCAAGTATTCCAAATTCCATCAAGATTTAACCCACAGAAAATCCAAAGCCTGTCAGGTTTTGGGAACCAAAAAATATCAAGGAGGAAGTTAATATCTTACCATTCTCGTTCCTTCTAGCATGCTTCCTTCTCTTCTTTTTCTTTGGACCTCCCTTCCCGGCTAGGTTTGCTTTCAGTCTTAAAAATAAATTTTTTTTTTCTTTCTTAGCAATACTATCCAAAACATACAACTTATCAATATGTAATAAATTCATATATCCTTTGAAGCTACTATTTTTAAATACAGTACCTTTCAGTAAAAAGAGCTATTCCTGATCCCTAAAATATATATATTTTTAGATTTTTTTTTCTCAATTTAAAATTTCTACTTAGATGGAAGTTATTGACACTGTTTGTATTTAGTTTATACAAATTTATTTTAGTTTGATTGTGTTGGAAGCTATAAGCTTATTGAAACACTTTAAAATCCATTCTAGAACCAACCAGTACTAAGCAATGAATGTAAAAAAGTTTCTAGCTCAAGTAACAATGTCCTGCCCCTGATCGGGTTTAAACCCACGCAGTCAGCAATCCTTAGGTGCTAGTGTTAAAAAACTTGGGCCCCACTCCACTGCATTTTAATTATAGAAATACTTACCTGGGTATTTTTTCTTTTGGGAAATTTTCTTAATGCATCTTTAGGATCTTTTTAATCTTAGGGGTTTTTTCTTGATATTCTTGGTCTATTTGCATTCTACAAAAAGAATTCTTATTTAAAATTTTCATGTGCCCCCCCAGTACCTCCACCTATAAAACCATTTCCTGCATAATGGACTTTTTCCTGTTATTTAATTTTTTGAAATGTTAAAAAATAGTTTTGGGGTCTCAGAGAAAGGTTTTATTTTTTAAAATTTCATTAATATTTATGGAAAAAAAAAAAGGAATTTCGGGGAAAGGGAAATTTTTTCACCAATGACACACAAATCTTACTCGGGGTAAGGGAAATTTTTTCACTCAATTACACAAAATCTTCGACTCAACAAAGGAGAAATATTTGCAAGTGGTTAAAGATACTACAGAGTAACCTCTGAGAGAGGCCTACTGAGAAAAATAAACCTTTTTTACAACCCTTTTTTTGAGGTAGACTTTACAATAAAATTAACCTCTCTGAAAAAAAATTCTAGAAACAACCAAAAAGTTTTCTCTCAAGGGGGATTGCTAAGTAAAGATTCAATGAAAGTACGACCAACGACCAATATAAATGGGCCCCGCACCGACTGTACACTAAAACTTCATAGGGGATTCACTTTTTTGTGGGGGCCTAATTTTTAAAACTAAAATTTCTGAAGAAAAATTTTTGTAAAAAAAGTTATTTTCCAGGGGTACCTGGTTTCATAAAGTTATAAACTGCAGGGCAAAATTTGGGGAACACAAAATCTTGGCATTTCCACCCAGAAATCTGTTAAAAAAAAGATTTGTTTTTTTTATCATTTAACCATGAGACCATAAATCAGAAAAGTTGGTTGTTTTATGATTGGGTTATCTCATCAAAACCCCAGTTTTTTAAACGTCATATGGGAGTTTTAAGTTTAATGGTGGAGGAAAAAAAACCTTAAGTCTTTCCCGTGCTTATTTTACAGAACCACACCTTATAAAACCATGACGTTTTATAAGCTAGCGGAAGCTTTCTCAAAATGAAAGAATCCAAATCCGGTAGAATTCAATTAAAAAATTGGTGAGGGGGGAAGGGTTTGAAGTCAAAAATCCTAACCCCAAAATTTTCTACATGCTTTTAATTTTTAAATTCAAATCATAATCAAACATTCATGAACAGAATAAATATCCAAAAACTTTTGTGTAACCAGGGTTTTTAATGAATATATTTAATTTTAATTTCATTTTGCGATGATGTATATGCCCGACAAAAATAATAACTTAACCAGCCAAAACACTTTTCCATAAAATTAAATCTGACCCCAGACCATTCTCTTGAAAGACCTGTTAACTTTTATAATGAGCCAACAATTATGGAAAAATAGAAATTTCCCAATACCTTTTCCTGGTGGTTTTTCTTGAAGGGGTTTGTTACTCTTATCAACAAGTGCTGAGATCACGGTTACCCAAGGGTGACAATGAAATTGATTTTTGTGCTTCTTTTAACCCTGCCCTAAAAAAAAATTACATGGCAAATGTAAAAGTATTTTTTAG